ATATGGGTTGATTTACACATTTATCATTTTACCTAACACTCAGTTCTTTCAATCGTTGATTAGAGAAAAGACGAGAAAAATTAAGATGGAGAAGAGAAGAGGCAGCTTGCAAGACGGACAGACGTGTTATCATTTTATTTAGGGCTGCAAGCGAACCAAACATTCGACGAGCTACTCATTGCTCGGTTCGATTAAAGCTTGTTTGTGATCGTTCAATTAACTAAACAAACAAACTTGAACAATATTTTAAATACTTGATCCATAAATAAACAAGCTTGAACATTAATGTGCTCGGCTCATTTATGTTCATGAACAACATCATTTGAAGCTCGCGAACAAGCTCGATTCATGTTCGATTTAGAACTCATGAATAAGCTCGACAAAAATCAATTAATATTTGATTATAAAATTGATGAATATACATAATATAAATATTGTATATTTATTATAACTATATAATTATTATTAAATAATAAATTTTAAAGTAATTTAATATTATAATATATGCTAACATAACCATATAAGTCTTTCTATGAACGCAGAAGGTAATCTTATTGTTGTTACACCAAATGGAGAGAAATGCAACATGTAAGCTTCATTTGAAAATATATTCATATAGATTAATCTTATTTTCATTTTACATAGACAATTGCTTTTATTGTAAATTTAATTTCATTTTATTTTATACCTTCAATAGAATGAATTTGTTCATGAAAAAGAGACATTTTACATTTGTCCATATTTGTTAGATTGTTTGTTTAAAATGTTCATGAATAAATATAAGATGAATCATAGATAACTTATTCATGATAACTTATTCATGAACGAGCTCATTTGGTAGTTGAAAAATTAGTTATTTATGTTCATGAACTTGTTCATTTGATAGCTCAAGAATACTCGTTATATATGTTCCTAAATGTACTTGTTTTATAGTTTAAAAAAATTCGTTAAATATGTTCACGAACATGCTCGATGTAATTATTTGTTAGGAGGTTCGATAAAACTTGTTTGTTAAGTTAATGAACATCTAGAAGTAGAGCTCATTTATAGCTCTTTAAGGCTTGTTTGTTTAAAGCTTGCTAAGCACTAAACGAACCAAACATGAACCGAACATGAACACTCATTAATTTAAATGAACAAACATGAACACAAATAACAAAGATCGAATCAAACACGAACCAAACTTGAACAAGCTGATAATAAATGAACTCAAAGATGAAAACTCACATACTCAGCTCAACTCTGCTCGTTTACAACCCTAATTTTATTTTTGGTGTTATAAGCAAACGGACACAAGTCTAAATCGGATTGTTTTCAAGTTTGTGGGTTGAGCCGAATCTGACCCGATATATAAACGGGACTACAAATAAGACCTGAACCCGACTTGTTTGTTAAACAGGTCAGCCCAAACACGGATATTCTGGGTCTAGTCATCGGGTCGTGTCGTTAATTGACACCACTAGAGGTTTTAGGCCCTTATTTAAGCAAAGCCGATTGTTTTCTTAAGCATAACAACATAACATAATGTTGATAAAAAGCATAAAGGCAGCTCACCAACATGAATCATCATTTTTTCTTGTAACATGTGCAAGAGAAACCAAATAACGCAATCAATCCTTCAATTTTTGCCACACTCTCCACCCTCACTTAGAACAAAGATAATGCGCTTTCTTCATCATATATTATGATAAATGTTGTTGCCACTAAAAAAACATATCTTATTATAGTAGGAAGACTAATCGACTAAAAGATAAATTTTCCCTCCCTCTCCAAGACAATTAGGGCTCCAAAGAGATAAACAAACCAATGGCCAACTTGAATATGTCAATTCTAATTCCATGGGTCAGGTTAGGTCTAGATAAATTCACTATTTAACTCTTTTCTTGAGATGTGTGCCAATAATCAAATTAAGTTGACACAAATGTGCGTGATAATGTGGGCCATGTGGCACTCAAATCCAATGGAGGGGTACATTTATTGGCCACCCCCATGCACTTATTGAAGGAGACATGGTGATCCCAACTTTTGTCAAATAAGAACAATAGTATTCCCACAATGCCTGAGGTATGCATTGTTCAAACCCACTCTTCACATGACCTTGAAAGCCAACGTGGCACGAGAATGACCACTAAGGTGTCCAAAATATGCTCCAAGTAGTCCTCAACGGTGTGATTAATCCTTGGATTCACGTCGAAGAAAGTTGAGCGTAGGATATCGGTGAAACCGTCCTCGTCCCATGTCAAGCCGTATTCAGCAGCTGGATCCGCCATTCATGGGACTAGGTAGCAAATCTCCTCTCCGAAATTTGAAAACAATTTCAGATTTCGTTCCCAAAACCTGAGAGAAATTTCATATTTCTTTCTGAAAGAATAGAGATTGGGAGAGAGGGTGTGGGTTTTAGAACTCAAGTGAGGAGTTGATGGTGAAGAGTGAATTTGGGGAGAGAAGCAACCCAAGATGGGGCCTTGAGGGTTTCGGCAGCAGCAGGTTGACTCTCCAATTCTTCCCAAAGAGGAGCACTATACCGTGGACAGATTTTTTGGAAAATCCAATAAGGGGTGGCGGTATGGTGGGAGAAAATTAGGGAATTATTTCCTAATTCCTACCCTCATATTTTGAAAACTAGTTAAAGGCTTGGGCTTTAGAATTTTCGGCTATCATGAGATGGGAATTATTTCTAAGAGAAGAAAGTGGGATTTAGGAAAGGTTTCTTAATCCAAGCCGGGGGGGTAGCATTAGAGAGAAGGGGAGGGATTTGTGGAGAGCAATTAATGTTGCTTGATTTGGTTTTGAATATTAGGAAAGGTCTTTTTAAATCCTATTTGAATTTTGAATTCAAATAAGTTTTAATTAGGAAAGTTTCCAAAAATAGAATTCATAGATTAGGAAGGAATTCAAATTTCAAATTATACGAATTTGAATTTCAAAATCTATCCCAAAATATGCCCTCCCAAATTAGGCAAAGGAATTTAAGGGAAGAGAGGGAGTGGGGGGCCGGTGGCTAGGAGGTTGGAGCTGGCGGCATGGGGGCTTGGGTTGGGGTTTGGCCGTGGGACGAGGAGGGGAGGAAGGGGGGCTTGGGTGAAGGGAAGAAAGGTGGCCGGTGGTGGTTGTAAGGGGAAGGGAGGAGAACCAATAGCCACCGGTGGTGACTGTTGGGTATGATGGGTGGCCTATCCTAGGCTCCACCAAGCTCTCTAATTCTCTCTCTTAAGCTCTCTCAAAAACTCCAAGAAAACAAGTGCAGGAAAATTTTCTCATAATCATTCATTCATTAACTCAAACATAAGACATGAGGCTATATATAGCCAAGTACAATGGACTCAAGAAAATAAAAGACCAACTTGCCCTCCGAGCTCACATACGACAATTCCCAATGAAAGGGTACAACTGGAAATGATCATAAAACAAATACATGACACAAAATAATAGAAAATACATGAATAAGAAAATACATAAATAACTCAGAAATATAAAGACTCGATCGTGGCCATAGATCGACGGCCACGCCTCTGATAAACCTTCCACGAGCTGATGTCCCCATCATTACGAACAAACTTTAATAGTCAGAACTCACTTCACACAAAGTTGTGTTTCAAAAACACAGGAATTTACTTCAATCTAATTTTCTATTTTTACCCAACAAACATTTGAACTCAATAAAAGTAAACCCAAATGCTTTTAGACCCTTAAGTCAAAAGAAAAGGCCCTAAAAATATACATTTAAGATCAAATTATGCTCCTTCACATTTAAGATCAAATAGTGCTTCTCCGATTGGATTAACAAATGCATTGAAAAATAAATTTTTAAAAGAAATTGATGAACAAGTATAATGTATATAATAGAAAGAATAGAAAATTAGTGGTGGTGACTTATATATGAATACTCCAATGGGCTATGATATGTGTGACATAAGATGGAGAATTATAATGAAAGAAGTAATATTTATTTCTCGCAAATAAATAATGTTGCAATAGTGAACAAATAATTTAAGAGATGAATGGAGCATTTGATTACTTTCAAAGAAGTCGCTAATTCACAAAAGCTTCTTTCAGCAAAAATGCTAAGGTCATTCAAGGAGAAAGCTTGATGATAAAAAATATAAAGCACAAGTTATGAAAGTACGTCTTAAAATATATATTTAAAAAAACAAATAAGAAATGTTTCTAATGATAGGATGGTGGAACTTAGAAATATAAGGAGCTGTTAAAATTTAAAGGATGTTAAGAGAAGCAATAAAAAAATGTTAAGTTGAACCAACTCTGTTTTTTCTTGAATGCATTAAAAAGACTGTCGTTGAAATATGAAGAGAATTTAAAAGTAGATCTTAAATACAGTGAGCAAATGCTTATAAAACACTGCAAAGTGAGCCTTGATGCATGTTATGTACAAATGACAGTTTTGATGGGTGAGAATTCTTCAAAAGTTAAATGTTAGTATCATGTTAGAATATGGGAGGAAATTCTTTGAGGGCTAGAGTCTCAAGTTTTAAAAAAAAATTGAGTGTATGATATGCAATTCTAGTCGATGTGTATCAGTTAATATTGTTGGAAGATAAAGTGATATACAGATGTGATAAGCTTAATTAGCTTTGCTCAATTATTTGATGGAATGTGAATAATGGCAAAATAAACTTTAAAACTAAATCTGCTTTCCTCAACAAAGGAAGACAAAGATCTATTAAGAGTAAATTTTTGTAATGCTGCAATTAGACTTGTTAATAGTCTTGGATAATGAAAAAGTCATTAGCAACTAAGTTGATTATGGCAACATTGGAAAACATAATAATTTCAATTCTTTTTAGATAGTAGTTCATTTTTTTTTTTCAATTTTCACTATCATGGCCCAACTCAATTTTCAAAAAACAATTATAAGTCATAAAACCTCCCAAAACACAATGCTGAAGCTGCTATCAAATCACTGTTATGTGGCACCTTAATGCTAGTAAATAAAAATAGCAACCAAAAGAAGACGGGTGAAAACAAAAAAGCAGACACACCTCAATTACATTGGATCCCCTAAGTGATACAACCTTCATGATGCTCTGGCCTTCTTGGAGGGAAATGCCATCTTCTGCAGAAGCCTTTTTGAGGTTCTTTCTACCAGATTTCATAGCAATAGCTTCGTTTTACTAAAATTTCAATTTAGAAATTAATAGTTTGTGGCCTTCAGAGAAGGCACGGAATAAATAGGTTATTAATTATCTAGAAGCCACAGCAAGAAACACCTGCAGAGAAAGCAGAAACAGAAAAGAATAAGCATGATACTAGTTGAGATAAAAGACTGTAAACGTATATTCGTGGGTCACCACGACACCACATAAGAAGGCCACAGCAACCTTTCTTCAATAGGGAAAAAAGACAACATTTAAACGCCTAAAGATAGGATTTGCAAAAAAAAGTTGAAATTCAGCACGGTGACAAGATTAATTAAGGCTTCGTTTGGGATGGCTTTCTTTCTGCTTCTTAAAGCAGCTACCTAGTACAAAAATTTTAATATTTATACTATAAAGTTGCTTTAAGAAGCAATAAAAAAACCGTCCCAAACGAAGCCTAAAACTCCCATCCAGTCCATATTTGCATTGCAGATAGAATGCAGCCGTCTGTAACAAAAATACAAAATAACATTTTGCAGTGGCATATAGCGTGAAATGATTATACTGCTCCTTTTATATACACAGGCAAAGACATATACATCCTCCCACGTACATTAGTCAACCGGCTTCCTTTTTTTTTCATTTCAGTGTTGTTTCAGGTAGTTTTTAAGTAAAAACAGCAACCCTTTAAATCATGCAGGTTCATATAGCTTATTCTAATCACAGTATCTTGAACAAAAAAAAAACTTATTTCAGATTTTATATGGGTGAGTGATGACACAAACTAGAATGAGATTGCTTCAGAAGAAATAAGTCTCATACGAGGACTGATTTTCAAATGCTCTGCAGATACTCTTCTCCAACATGAAGTATGACTATAGAATTTCACAGCGGGTACAAAGAATGCTTAATGCTGAAGTGAAGTGAGTAATGCGTATCTTGAATACAATAAAATGCGCCGTACCATAACCACTTGATGTTGTCACTTTCCAACTTGCATTTAAATGCCATCTCTTCAATGATCATTTAATTTAATTATAATCAATGTTGAGAAGTCCTATAATAGATACATCCCCAAAAAGACCTCTTTGATTTTATCTAGCATGATGCCCATTTAATAGCTAAATAAAAAAAATAAAAAATAAAAATCTTACTAATGTGCATCTTCTTTAGAGCTAACTACACTTCAATTTTTTTATCAATCTATAATATACCAAGTTAAATTGACCTTTATGCTCTTTCAAAATAATTTCTTTCTTAAAACTCCAATCCAATGATTTTTCATAATAGCATTTTCATCTTCTCTTGACATCTTCATATTTAACCGATATCATATTTATCCCTATTAATGCATCTAACTTGATCAAATGTTCTAGATATCTAATCGTTTTGCCTTGGCTATTCTATATATCTCATTTTCTCAATCCTTGGTACCAAGCTTATATTTTCTAGTTCACCAAAATGGTGGCAAGGAAATTCTTAGAGATGACAAGGGTAAGACCTTGGTTTTAATTAGAGATTAAGTAGCTCGAAATCAAATGGAATCAAAGCCTTGCATTTTATAGCAAATGAGTTTGATAGAGGACATTCTAGCATCAAAGATTTCTAATGCAATCCAAATATACAACATAGCTTTAAGGTTGAAACAATTATTACATAGGAAACAAGCTATAAGCATTGAAACAACTATTTACTACCTTTGATGAAAATTGAAAATGGTTAAATCCAATTCAAACTAGTGCTATTAAAGATTTTAGGCACCCTCCAAACGAAGTGACTGCATAATGCCCTAGGCACTAGGAGTTAGCCAAAGCACCCGCCTGAGTGAAGTGAAGCGCTGAAAATTTTCATTTGCTTTAAAGATGAGGAATACTTTTGAAGAGTATTATATGATGATCAACACAATAAAATACAAAAATATAACAAGCAAATCCTTCCGTTCGGCGGATTTACGGGATTTGGCCGAAGAAGCGCGCGAAAGGTAGAAAGTTAACTTCACAGCGAGCGAGCTCCCGTCCTTGCTTTCGATCAAAATGTCGTAACTTCCGATCCAACATGAAGGAAATGTCGTCGAAGTAGTGAAGTCGAACAGCCACGAAGAACGGAAACGTTCAAAACTCTAAACTTCATGCGAAGGAATGAAGCCGAACAGCAACGAGAAAATAGAGAAGTGAAAAGCAAACCCTAGGCGCCTGTAAGCTATTATTGATTAACTTAATTAATATAATTTAAAATATTAATAATCAAGTAAAACTAATTAACTAATACTTAAATTATTAATTAAATCATTAATAGGATTATCAGTTAAATACTTAGTTATTTCAAAATAATTAGTATGGTTAAATATAATTTCAAATACAAATTATTACTATATAACATTATAAATAATAATTAAGTAGTATTAGAATATTAATTAATATTAATGAAACTTTGATGTATTTCATTTGAAAGTACTTTAATCATACATAAAATAAATTTCAAATGTGTTAATCACTTTAAATTCTAAATTGAATGGTCAAAGAGTCGCACAAGATTTATCCAGATTTATATTGAATGTTACAAAACAGTTTTCAAGATTTAACACCTTAGGATTTTGTAAATTCGAATTTAGAATATTTGCGAAATTTACTTAAATTAAATCCTTGGTGCATCCAAACAACCTCTAAAAATTAAAAAATGATCCATAACAAAAAAGTATTATATCTCGAAAAAATTGGTCCACGTTCATGATATGTAGAGGTGTCAATTTTTTACCAATTTTTGACACAACCCGAACCCTACCCGGAAAAATCCGGGTTAGGGTCAACCCGGACCCAAGACAGGTCAGGTTCGGGTTCAACAAATCAACCCATTTTAAAAATCGGGTAGGGTTCGGGTTGACCCAGCAACCCGAAAATGACCCGAAATTGACAAAAAAACTTCTATTTGACTCGGAAACCCGAGATTGACCCGAAAATCGAAGATTGACCCGATTTTTGACCCGAAAACTAGCAATTTTAGGTCAACTTATGATCATTCGTGTCGGTTCGGATTCAGGTCCGGAAACCTGACCCATTTTTAAAAACGAGACGGGTTCAGGTTGACCCGAATAGTGTCGGTCAGTTCCAGATTCGACCCGAACCCGACCTGTTGACCCGAATTGACACCCCTAATGATATGTGTTTTCGTTAATCTATTTTATGAATTCCATGTCTCAAAAAATCCAACTCATAATTACTAGCCACTCATAGGTAACTTCATTGTTGCAATTTTAAAATATTTTACATAACATCTCTTCATTGTTCAAAGATAGGAAACTATTTCACAAGAAAATATAGTGGTGGTTAGCACTACTAGGACAATAGTATTCTCTATTAACTTTTGAAAATAACAAACAATGGAGGATAAGTATAAATAAATTTGAAAGGGACAACAAGAAAACCATAAGGATGAGTATTTTTAGATCTACCTCTATCTTTCTTGATATGTGTGAGATCTAAAACATCAACTCTTCTAGCTGATCAGAAGCCGACACTTTGTGAGACCAAATCATCTAAGACGTTTTATCATTATATTTTAGAAATTAAAAATGTCATATACACGTAAGATATCGTCAATAACTAGCATATTAATTTTCAAAATCTTCTCATATAATCATACTTATTATTTACACAATATTTATTTATCCCATATATTACTAAACAATTTTAAAATTTATTGTAAAGCATGCATGCCAATAGTTTTAACAGTGCTAAAGCAAATGAATGATTTTGAAATTGTGTGAGATGTAAATTCTGATCATCAAACATCTTATACAACTCATCAGCAGCTTTGTATGATTGAAGTTCAAAATTATTTTAACAAATAGAATATAGTATTAGAATTTAAAATATATAGTTTAAATTCCAACCATTTTGAGAAAAAAAAAATGCATCACTAGTAACTATCAGCAAATGAAAGCAATTTTATTGAATATGCAAACTGTTCTAGAAATCTTTTCTTATCTAATTTGACATATATTATGAAAGATTTTATTGGCTGATTATTACATTAATTAGGAGTTTTGATTGCTGTCAAAATTGAGAGATTTAATTTGCACTTATTGGGAGATCTAATTGGCGTAATTAGATTTCGATTAATTAGTCTTCGTGTTTTATTTCAAATCAATAAATAGAACTTGAGGGCTACTATATGGAGAAATTATTCCGTGTGGATATAGACGTCATCCTAAGACGAATTAGAATACGCCACGTCGCTCATTTGTTATGTAAGTTCCTCAGGCCTTATATGTCCAAGGAGAACTCTGCGACGAAAGTCCGGGTTTTCAGAAAAATTCAGATTGAATATTATTGATCTGCATTTAGCTTTATGCGTGCCATTCGAACCTGATTTGGATCACACGCATTTATTTCATCTAAGATGATTTTCACTTCATCCCTCTTATCTGCAATTGCCTCTGCAGGAACCATTGAGAAAGCTTCCAGGAGGCCTTCCCTGAACTTGTTTTTCCAAGCAATCAGCTGAGGATTGCTGGTTGGAATCAATGGCTTATTGGCAATTGTAGTTGTAGTCTTCTACTCAACAATGAATGATCGCATCAGGAGTAAAAGCATAACTAAAAATAGTAGAGGAACTATACCAGCTGCAATTTTATGGAGGTAAACAAGTTAAGAAAAATAAATAATTGGTTCTTAATCATGTGTCTTTTCAATTCAAGTGAATATCTTCCTAAGTTTCACCGTCACTGAGAATAAGGCTTCGTTTGAGACATCTTTCTTACTGCTTTTTTAAGCAGCTTCTTCGTATAAAATTAAAATTTTTGTTCTAAAAAGCTGCTTTAAGAAACAATAAAAAAGCCATCATAAATGAAGGATTCGTTTGGTACGCTTTTCTGTTGCTTCTTAAATCAACTTTTTAGTACAAAAATTAAAATTTTTATACAACAAAGTTGCTTTAAGAAGCAACAAAAAAGTCACCCCAAACGAAGCCGAAGTCTAAGGCTTTATTTGGGACGGCTTTCTTATTGTACTAAAAAGCTGCGTTAAGAAGCAGTAAGAAAGCCGTAATTGGATGGTCTGTTGAACTCATGTCTTTTGTTAGTTGTGACTAACTGCCTAAGTCTTACAACATATTAGAGACGTGGTCTGTT